TCATCACCTACACGTAATATCGCCACTGTTTTCACTCTGCTCTCTTTCATCTGCTCTGAGTAGTCACACTATTTGCGTTATCTTTGCCAAAACTCTGCAGCAAGACGCCAGAATGTGTAAGAGGCCTCTTGACTTCATCATCTCTCTCTGCCTCACACTTCCACCCATGCAATTGTAAATCCTCCTGTTTTTATTTAGTCTCATACTTATGTGTTCACCTTTGCCTTCTTCCCACCCTTTCTAAATTGTTACATTGTCTTCCCACTTCCAACTGCCTCTTCCTCCATCTTTCGCCTTTCATTTGTCCAGACTGCTCTCAGGCATGGGTTCTCAGCTTTACAGATGGCACAGTCATTTTCACAGACACTCAACTTCAAAGGCTGGGGCGGAGGGGGAGGCAAGGGGGAGAGCAGAGCCTCCAGCCTGGTGGCGAGTGTTCCAACATGGAGACACGCTCACATCACTGGTTTAACTGAGATGATATGATGTTTGGAGAAATGTTAACAGAGCAGGCAGCACTGTGACAGCTGGGCAGTGATAGTATTCCTGTAGAAATCAACAAGACACAACTGAATTTAACTGATTAAGATCTGATTGATATGATTAACCCTTTGTTAATGTGTCATATTTTCTAAATGTACAATAACAGAAAGCAGATAAATCCAAAAAAGCAACAATACTGAAATGACTTAAATAAGTAATTTATTATAAAATAGTTGATTATTACTATAATTATTTTATCTTCAAATAACTGCTAATTCACTGCAACTCTGCTCAGCATTTTATTCCTTTTTTGCGCATCTGCCCAAAAATAAAGCCCTTAGACAACACTGAACATTACACGTATGCAGTATTTGCTGGATGTGTTTTTTTTTTGCTGTTACAATAAATGTATGAGTCACAAAAAAATAAGTAAAAATAAAAAATACAAGCTGCAGAGAAAGAAAGAGACAAGGGAGGGACAGTGACGTTGAAGTTGAGCTTATCATGGTAATGTGTATATAAGCGGGGTACAACTCAGCATGTCCATATGACAGGATGCATCACTGCTGCGGACTCCCCACAACAGACCACGTCACAGCCAACCAGAGAACCGAGCACTTCTCTAAAATGTGCATTATATACATCAACCACTGTGATGATACAGTGAGTTGTAAGGTGGGATTGATGAATATCACTATACTGAAGTGAGTCACATCTTGCAGAGTTCCTATGGTTACTGAAAATAAAGGGGGTCACAGCCATATTTATAAAAAAAAAAAACAGCAGTGAATAAGAGGCTTCCGATCATATGATATTAGTTATTAAGTGATTCATTCCACTACTTATCTAACACGAGTCCTGAATTTTTGTCACTGCAGAGCAAGAAGCTCTAGGCCGCCCCTACTCTAGCCACACCTAAGAAACCATAAACTAAACCATAAATTAAAGCTGGTGAGATTTACCTCACACATGCAACATTTGCCACCTTAAGCGGCATAGATACAGGCATGTCACAATCACTGTTGGAGTTGCAGAGGCACACGTATCTGACTTTACATTCTTACCTCAGAAAAGCTTTTTTGTAGCTGTTCAGTTCTTGGGATTTACACATAAACAACAGCTACTTTTGCACTGACGGAACGAAATTTACGCCTTGATTTAGAGACACAGGGAGATAAATATTTGTGCTACAATCTCCCTGTACTGTGTTTTACAGTTCCATTAAATAAAAATCTAGTGACCCAGGTTTCCGTAGTGTTATCAACAATTACATTCTACATCCATCCCATGAAGAAAAGAGAAAGGTCTGTACATCAACACATCTGGGGACTATCCAATGACATGGTTCTTTAAAAAGCAATGCACTGCACATTCTAAGAACAAGAGCTGTCCACATCAGAGAACATGCATCTGTCAGCGCATTTATGGTCACTCCACTGACAAACAATTCTGCAAATGGACAGTTCAGACCCCGCACGCATATGTATGTATACACTCAATTTCAAACAGGAAACTGGGATCATAATGTCACTGAGAAAAAAGACACATGGATTTTAATTCATTTCAGTGCAATGTAAAAGCACACAGACATGCACAACATATCCAGTCTTATTCCCATCCACTATTACCCTAAAGAAGACCTGTGACTTTATAAATCTGGAGTTAAACTGGTTGGTTACAGTATATAAAAGGCATAGGCCTCCATGTGGATGTGGGTTGGACGTTGGTTGGGCAGAGACTTAATTAAAGCCGCAGATCTTCTCACTGCAGTATCACTCTGTAACATGACCTTACAGAGTGACACTAACTAGCATCAGAGGATTCAACGCTGTAACTGTGGTGCAAAGACACCATAAGTAATTTTAAGTCAGATGCAAGTGAGAAACTAATTCATTATAGGTCAGCTGTCCCAATTTTTTTTTTTGTCACACCCTTGGTTATTGGTAGTGCATAGAATAAAAAATCTTTTTCAGCAGTGTATAAATACATCTTTGATGCCGCATATTGCAAATAATTTTCAAACGTAATTTTCTCTAGCCAATATTACATAATTCATTTGCATTATATTTTAAGTTTCCATTTTGTGTAAAACCTTACTGGTGGCATCAGTAAGCCTCATTATCATTTTTCCGCTCTATTTGTGTTGCACATTCTTGGCCCTTTCCATTGCCACTCTCCCCTTTAGCTGCCATAGTATCAGATGACTAGTGAGAAATGTTACACTAACAAAGATAATATCAACAAGGTTTTGTTTTCAGAGAATATGGGGCCCCATGACTCCAGAAGCATTTATACTCTAGTCTGTGTAAAATGCTAAGTAAAATCCACTGCTCCTCAAATAAGCAAAATCATTAAAAAATGTCAGTATAAGCAGCCTGAACCTGTTTACAAGGGTGGTTTTCATATTGAAACAATGGGTGGTCAATTGCATTACCAACGAGTAAGCCACTAGATGATCTGTGAGCAGATGTTGTCAGTGATCTTCGTTAAGCAATACCTGGCCTGCTGATATAATGGAGACACAGAGGTTACTTTCCAGTACGGTTAGTCCCTCTGGTCTTCCGGAGAGTATAGGCTGCTTCTCAGTTAACCACCATGGCTCTTGGACTCATTTTGTGCTTTGTTTTATTCATGCTATGCTTTTTTTTTGAGCATTTTAACAGCTTTTTTTTAATTTTTACTACAGATTTTAGTCATACATTTGTCTTTACTGGCCTCTCTTCTCATAGGCTTTCTTCGACTTGGTTCTTGCTTTTTGACAGCAGTGTTGGTTTACTAGCTAATAAAGTTAATAACTTTCTTCTTCATTACCATATCGGCCCTCCAAAATATATTGCTGCTTTACCTTAACTGTTAACTTTACAGGGTATGGATATCAATATACATCTGACTTGGAGGATGAAGTGCTAACCTCTCTAGATTTTGAAAATTATGGGCAGGCTCCAAATAGCCAACCAACTGACCCTATATCCACAAATTACAACAAACCTCCAGCTGTAGAGCAGTCAGAATCAGTCCTGAATCAACAAAAACTGACCTATGCACATATTAATCCTGAAGTAGAGAGACTTGTTAATGGCAAGTCAAGAAACTGGGACCTGAAAGACTCTGAGGAACCACTCCACTTTCCTTTAAGCCCCAAACACCGGCTGAGTAACTTGGCAATGCCTCAGCCAGACGCTGCCCGACATCAATCAACATCACTTAATGGTGCTGCTTCAATGAGTAAGCCTGCCTCTCCAAACAATGATGGCTCCACTTCTGCTAGGGCAACTGCTTACTATGATCCAGTGTATTCCATCTTTGCTGCCGAGTCTCCTGGCTTTGACTCATGGTGGCCTGAACCACTTATCAGTGAAGATGAAAAAGCTGGCTTGGGTTATGGTTCCCCAATGGAGACCTTCAACACGGACTACAGTGCAGATGAACATGACTAGAATAACATTCGCCACCTTGTCTAAGAAACTCTTTCAATATACCTCCAAAAAGGGGTTATCAAGCTATGTTACTGCCTCAGTACTAGAGTATAGCCAAGGTACTTGCATGCACAAAGAGTCTTCAATGCTTGAGGGACCCTCCTTAAGTTACCAACTACTATAGGACTGCAACCTATCTGGGCTGGAAGACGTTCTCCTTGTATCTAAATTTGGGATTACCTCTTGGTCTCAACAACATTATCAGCACCCGAAAAGTAAATTCTTCTGCAAGAGTAAGTGAATCAGTTCTTCATCCACTTCGAAGCTACATTAACAAGTCCAGAGATGGCTACCAGCAAGGCAGATCTCTTCAAAGTCAGGTATTGGCCAGAATTTCCTTATCAAATGCCTGTAAGCTCAACAGACACCTGTTGAGAGCCTGCAACAAGTCAATCAACTGCCTATAAGGGTGATAAGAACCACAAAAGGTATGGCTACCACATCAAACTGAAACCTCCG